TTGTGGAAAAGACTTTATTACAAGAAACAGGTTAACTGTGAACATGGGAGTCAACATGTTTTTACTTGAATTTAGAAGTCTAAAAAATAGTAATCATGGATTCTGGCAATGAAATAAATACATCAAAAGTCACACTGACAATATCTACAAGTTTTGTATAATTTATGAACTTATAAAAGTCAATTGCCTTAGCCTACACAAACAATGATTTCTTAGCTTAAAACTATTTCTTTTTTTTCTGTCAGACCTTGAAAACCATAAAAGAAAAGGTTTTGAAAAAAATAAATATAATAAACTAATCATTTTGAAAGAGCCGTGAACTATTAAAACTAAAAACAAAAAGAGAAAATGAAAAAAATCTATACCATTAATCTTGAATGTGTAAGATTTGTAATACTTCACCACCAACTTTGAATTGCTTTTTGAATCTCCCTATGTCTTTAAACAGGTTTAACAAACTATCACTTCCATTAGCCTCTTTCCAAATAGACTTAAGTCTGTTTTTCAGCCGTATAAAACTGAGAATGGAAAATATATTCCTTTCTAAAATAGACTCCCTTTTCAGAATATGACTGCAAAACCCTACATTTTTTTGTCAGGGCACAATTTTTTGATGACAATACACCTTCACCATTACAATCAGGCATTACTAAATTCCAGCAAGACACAAAGCAAGCTCTGCTCATTCTCTCAGTGTATGAGCCACTTCCTGCATTACCCAAAATATTGAACAAAAAAATTGGAAGAAAATAAAAGAGGAAAATTATACTAAATAAATGTAAACAAAATATCTAAATATTTCTATTTATCATTCTGATTAGCATTTGGGGGCCAATTTTAATACATATAGCTGGAAATTTCTTTCTGATTACAATAACAGGACATTACATAAACATTACAAATTCCCTTAGTAACTACGGCCTTGTGTGTATTCTGAGGGAAAAGCCAGCTTATAGACTCCAGTGCCACTCCAGGTGGGCAGCGTCCCCGCAATGGGAATGATGTTCCAGGACAGGTACAAGCTTACATTCTTGTGCCCACTGTGAATAAAAAGAATTGGAAATAATTACCTCTTGTCTCTATATGAAAAGAGTTTAGAACATCATAAATGAGTTATTTCTATTGATTAATTTAATGGTTATAAAACATATGAGTTTTGGACTTTCTAATTCATGAAGTAAAATATAAAGGAAACATTTTGGCAAATAAGTGAATTAGATCACAGTTCTACAAATGTGTTCATATTACAAAATTTCTGAATATCTCTGCAGAGAATAAGACAGCCACTCACAGGAGACCATTTCCATCATCCCAGAAATAGTACTTGAGGTGCTGGTTCTTGAGTTTGACCACTGAAGCCTCTCCTCGCTGGATAATCTTGTCCCATAACACCACCTGCAAACCACGAATATTACACAAATAATTATATACATTTACCATATATTCACATATACACATAAAACAAACATAAATAAAGATAAATAAATCCTTTCATTCACAATTATCCTTATGACGTATTTATAAAGATAAACATATGCAAACACAGTACTGACACGTACACAAAGATGGCATCAACCAGCTACAGTAAGAAAATAGTAATACAATGGGAAAATTTGAATCCACTTGAAATACTTATCACATGAAGCAAAACACTTTTTGATAAAGAATCCATTCACGGAATTAAAAACACACTACTTATTCTTCTCTCAGTTTTGTTGCAATGCATTGTCTACAAGTACTGAATAAATGACATCCTCTATTCAGATATTTACAAATATGTAATAAATTTCAAGATATCAAACTGACCTGATTCACTTTGTTATTCTGAGTCTGATACTCAGCAGTGAGGTAGAGAAACAGCTGCTTTGTGTTCCAGTTAAACAAAGGTGTCAGATCAGTGTTCAAGTCAAAGCGCAGGGCTCCCAAGTCGTTCTTCTCTCGTGACACTGCATACTCTGGCACATTTTTCCTATTAATAAGAGAAAAAGTTATGATAATCTCAAGCTGAAAGAAGAGAAGAAAGAAAACTAATCACTGCCCCCTTTTCTGTCTCTTTTCTATACTAAGAGTTCTCTCCATTTCTCGTTTCTCACCCTTTCTAATCTTTTTCTTTTGTCCCTAATAGCAAAGGTAGCTCTCTTCCTCATACTTACAAAATGATTCAGTCATTCAAGAAACACTTGCAAGCACAAATGCGCTGAATTCCTTTCCCATAGTATGTGTGAAAGCCATTCCATATCTACCTATTTTTTTTTTTTTTTTCTCGCCTGGTTTTCATTCTACCTGAGCATAAAATGACTTTTCATATATTCAAATTTTAAGGTCCACGACAACACCCAATACAACAACAGCAAAACCTTATAAACCTTATAAAACATTTGTCCTCTTATTGTTGAATTATACAATGTTCTATAAGTACTCCAAATTAACCCAAAGACGACAGGCATGGTATATATCTACAGGCCATGCCCACTTGTTTAATTGTCTTTAAACATATATGGCTGCACTTATACTAAGTCACCAATGAGCCAATTACGAGTACTGCCTGTATCACCTGTTTACCCTTTTCCTTTATTTACGAAAATATTTTAAGTTATCTTATTTTGCTGTTACTAATGTTGATAATAAAAATAACACCTCAATACTCATAGCATTTGTAAAAATATGTTTTTCCTGCCAATTCAAGAAAAGGTGAAATCAGGTAAGATCACAAGGTCTACTAATTGACTCCTTTGTGGCTAAAAACTAGCAGAGCCATCCATGTAAATAGACATTTTACAAAATATAAAAAGTGAGCACAGCATTTTCCCTATTTTTTGTTAAATTGCCCCGGCGGCAGTAGGTTAAAGGACAATAGATAGAACAAAAATGCTACACTTTTTAAATTACCATTGCATGTGTAACATATAGCTATACAGTATATGAAACAATTTTTTTTAACCTCAATTAGTCATAAAAATGGCAAATGTAAAATAGATGTTACATTTGACTGATCTGTCAATCCCACTTACAGATTATCATGCAAGCCGCTCGACACAATGTGGCCTAACACAATCACGCTGGAAGCCCCCAGTACCATGGTAGAGAATGTCTCAAGCTGCATGTGAAGTTAGCTGCACCAGGGAAAAAATCAGAAGCATGGGAAACAAAATCACCTCCTCTCTATGCTCCTGGCTACAGCATACACAATTTTTTTTTTAGATAAGTAGGTTAAAATGAGCCTACATCTGAGGGTCAACAAATGCAACTAGGCCAAACAAGCAAACAGTCGTGCAGCATGCACAACTTAGAGCAGGCTATACTCTCACAAGATAGTCATCCCAGCATTAGGAGGTGGTCTACCATGATGTAACAGGTCATTCCTGCATGAATGGGTAAAATATTACTGTAAATAGTTGTTAGGAACTTGTTGGTTCTTTATTTAAATGTCACTAATTGAAAATATCAATAACAGATTTCTGCAAAATTTGGCCTTAAAAGAAATATGGTAATTTTTATATTTCTTACAAGTGCATCTCATGTTAAACATGAATTTGAACAATTCCTCAACTGGCATGAAATTCAGATAAATCATTATTTATGCGAGTCTTTCATTATCACAAAAATGGTACAACTCACAATAAGGACTGTACAGAGATAGAAAAATACTAGGGTAATGCTCTAATAGTATATACAAATGCAGGACATACAAATATAGATGTACGTATACCAAAATCTTCAACAAAGGGTTCTGAAACTCTGCCCCATGAAATTAAAAATGTGTATCATCAAATGTCAGGTGCATTGATCTATCAGTTTTTCATGATGTGAATATGGTTGAGTATAGTTTCAGTTTCACACAGCCGTATGGTACAAAGTAACCTTTACCTGAACAGACAGAATGACAAAGAGAATATACTTTTCATCTGGTATTTTCTTTGCAAGTTGATAAGAAAGTTTTGCAGCACAATGTTTTCATATAAATTTACCAAAAATCTAATAACATCATGAAAGAAATTACAAACTATTCACTGATACATGATGC